ATCGATATCAATAGTCATGGGATCAGTTGCACGCGCCCAATTTAATTACTTGCGTCTCCTAATGAATGCCGGATAGGTTTGATACCGCCACAATGGGCCCGGCTGCCTGAGGCCGGATGAAACCTCTTTGCTTTGTCGTGGTCAGCAGTTTACGTGTATTAGGAAAAAGATTTAAAAAAAAAACAGAAAGCTATTTAGTTGAAATATAAAATTTGTACAAAAATGGACGAAAACTTAGTCTTTTCCAAAATATTTTATTTTAAAATGTCACATGAAAAATGTGATCGTTTGTTGTAAAGGAAACGCACTAGATGGCTCTAAGAATTTCACGAAAATCTTTTCGCCCATTTTTCTACAAACTTTAAATTTTATTCTATTTTAATAATTTTATATTATTTTTATTCTATTAAATTAATATAATTTGAAGTTTTATAGCAAAAGTGTTATATCTACTTTTAAATATTGCATTGTAAAATGTAATATGAAAAAAGTGGTCTTTTGCAGTAAACGAAACACACTAGATGGCACAAAGTATTGCAACTTGAAACTCAATAAAAACAAAGTAGAAAAATACGTTGAGATTTTCGTTTGGTATAAAGAAAAGCTGTTTAGTTCAGTGGCTAGGGTGTCGTGGGCATATCTCGAAGGAACGGTTGAAATGTCTTCCACGTATATAAGACATCAACGATTTGTTTCCCATTTGATAATGGGAAATACGGTTTGTGTCCCAAAAGCATTTTTGAAGCCAGTTTAAAAATTTCTTAAATTATAATAGTACTTTTACTGATATTTCACGTATATTTTTAATTTCAATTCTCGCCGTTTCGAATACTTTGCATCATTTATAGACACAAGACGTAAGACAAATATCATTTAACAGTCAGTTATATAGTTACCTCGATTAGATTAAAACCAGTAAACAATGTGACCAAAGCTGTTGCTACAACCATAGGTACCAATTAAACTTTGAAAAATCGATACATACAAACGAAAAACTATTAGTTATTAAAGAGTCTTCGTGTTTTACGTAAATATCTAAAGTTAGAGTAAAACGCACGTTCTGTTGCTAGTGATATTTTAGAATTAAAATAAATTAGTGCACATCAAACATTGATAATTCATAATTCATAATAGAAAATACTAAAAATATGTGCGTTATTGGCAACTTGGGGAGCTGATTACGCGTACGAATATATGACAGAATTGATAAAAAAAATTAAATTTATATTGTGTTCAACTTTGTTACATGCAAATACGTAAAGTAAGCAGTCAACTTAAAACATTATAAGTGAACTTTATGTAGGTTATCAAACAGTTGAGTTAGTTTGTATTTAACTATACGATCACTTATTTAAGTATGTACAGTGTACTTAAGTAAGTACAAGTAAGTTATGTTACATTATGTTATCTCCATAATTCATATGCTTGAAGCTATAGATATGTTGAAGTGAATTAAAAAATCCCCCGCTTTGTGAATCGATCCTAAACTGCATAAACAAAAAGTGGAGCGTGTCATTCTTTGCTCCAGCGAACACAATTTTCCGCCAAATACCCCTGCACTTCTCTCGGGAATCTTGAAGCGTTCAATATTTACGCTTTCTGATTCTAACAAATTATGAAAAATTATAACGATAAATTTTTATTAAAACTGTTAGACCGATTAATGAACTTACGGGTTCAAGTTTCAAGTCAAATTTTTGGTGCAATAATGATTGTCCTTATTTCTTTTTCTTTAATACATCACTGCTTTGTTGTCCTTCAAATATGACGCAAAGGTATAGGTACTCTAAACTGTACACAGAGTATATGCATATTTACCTCCCAACAATGGAAGTGCCATGCAACTGCTGGTTATGCGTGCAATAATGCTGGTTTGAAGTCAAATTTGGGGCTACGTTCGGTATTTCTCTGCGTGATAGAGTTCACAATGAAGATGTTCGCAGTAGAACAAACTGTCATATTCTTTATTTATAGTGTGAAAAATTGTCCAGCGGGCAGATGGTTAACCTGATGTTAAATGAATACCAACACCCATGGACATCTACAACAACCGATGAGTTGCAGACGAAACGTGAAAGTTTAATACTTCCACTTCACGACGGATAAGCCTGCCCATTCGTGCAACAGCAGAAGCTGTTGCGTGGCATTACCAGAGTAGAAAACATTAGGATGATAATAACAATTTAATGGTTTATAAAATGAGATTTATTTTAGGATGTGTCTACATTTCATTGTGTATCTGCTGACTTTGGTGCGAAATTGTTCTCGTATCCAATTGATATGCAACAATGTAACTTTCAATGTATCATATCGGATGGTGGGCTCAATCCATTCGATACTAAATTAGCTTTCTTTATAGAGCTGGCTAGATACGTTAAAGCTTTTTGTCCTGCTTTTTATACTTGATAAAAAAATTTACGGTTATGTTTTTCGAGAGTATGTATGTGTATGCATTATTGTTTGGCACGCTCTGCAGCCTGAACGGTTTGATGGATTTTAGCTTGAGACGTATGGTTAGACTGGGTATATTAAAATAAAACATTACACAGTAAAGCAGTCGGATAGTTTTTTTTTTTCTTAAATAATATACTACTTGTTTTTAATATGACCAAAAGGTTTGTTCGCGGATTTCACGCGGGATTAGTTTTTTGAGTCCTCGCGGATTTCCATTCGGCATTGTTTAGAGTCCGCCACGGCGAAGGGCCCTTGGGCCATCTGTTGGGCCGTATTTAATAAGGCCGGTGTCCCGCGGCGGTATTGTCCGCGGTAATTTGTAGCTAGAGCGTCACTCCCGAAACACCCGGGCATATAATAACGTTATTATAAGTTTATCGAAATGCCCCGTTCGACCGCGCGATGCGGCAACACGTGGGGTATTTTTCCCGTCATACCGCCCTTTGTAGTGCCAGAAAACGAAAATACGCCACGGTTTCGTTTTTAATTGGAGATCGGACATGCGTGTAGTTTGTTGTTAACCATGATGGCGCGTTAGATGTTTTTGTGTTTCGAATTTAATCATTTTGAGGTGGAAACCAGCAACAGTATAACGATTGGTAATTCCGGCTGTCCAGAGATATTCAGAGCTCCAAAGGATAGTTCGTTAGTTTGTTTTTTAATTGATTGCCCATGCTAAACCATCTCGCTGTATTTTAGTAATTACGACATGCTAATATAATTATATTACGTAACGTTGCTTAGTTTTTTGTATTATGCAACTTCACTGCGTTGCCAAGAAAAAAATGAAGGTTAAGCGGAAAATCTGTGAATTTTGATTATAGCAAGTTTGAATGGACTCATTTGAATTTTGAACGTAATACCGAGCCCAGTGTACACACAATTTGATTTCATTGTTGTATAATTAGGGAATTATTTAGGTTGCTCATATCAGTGCTTCATCCCTTAATATAAATAAATACTCAAAAGTTGCGTCACCGCTCAAACATTAAAATAATTTTTATTACTTTAATCATTATCATCATCGTATTTCAGTCTGCATGAGTCACGCATGCAGGCATGATTATTTGCGAAGAGAATAAATATATAATATCACAAATTAACAACTACGTTTACAATAATATTGTATATAATAAAAAACAATAAAATATTGTGGTACAAATATTGATCAATAACTAATTTTAATCAAATTAATGTTTATGCAATAATTTTAATCAAGTTAAAATAACCACAAATAATAAATTTTGTGCTCTTATTCATATACATTACATATAAGCCATGTTATATCAACTAACCGATCCGGCATCGTGACGACACGAGCATAAATATTAATTTGTACACACATAAAGTACAAAAAGCATAGGACGTATTAAAGAATGAAACTGGTTACATGTGGAGGGATCGATAAAATACGGGCAAAAGCAAAAAGGACGCCTCGTTATTGCATCCCGATCACGTTACGACAGTGGCAAAAAGGCAATTGCGCGGGCAAGGATACGTGGATTCATATTAAACTGATCACACCGTCTCTCTCAGGTATCAGCTCTGTGGCACGCTCTTGGAGAAGTGCGCGGGAGCATTGCTTACGCCCTGGCTCGCAAAGTCCCGCCCCGCGTAGGCGTGTCGACGTACAGTCGACAGCGGAACTAGTCTAACTCTCTCCCGCTATTTTGGATCCTAACGCATCGGAATAAGACCCACGAGAAGCGAACGGCTCAACGGCCGCGCCTGAGTTTTTCATCGGGCAATTAAATAATTTAATTAAGAAAAACCACACCGACACAGCAGTCAATGATGACACACGCTGAATCCAAATGGCTTTAGACGTGCCATTGATGCTCTTGTGGTGCGGAATAAAAACGGCATTTCGTGATTTGATACAACATTAATTACCTAAATGAATTTATGCGATTTTCAAAGTCGCTATTCGCTCCGCCTAATTATAATTAATTGCTTTACAAATTGTAATAAATAAAAGCGACTTAATACATTTTTGATTAAGCTTAATAAGTTTTTTATCGAATTTTATTGCTATAGACTTCAAGCTTTTATTACAAAATCTATCTATTAAACTAATTTAAAACAAAATAAACCATTACTGCTTTAGAATCATTATTAGGTTCTTAATTAAAAGACAAATATGTACTATTTTTTTTTGTTGATGTTAAATTTATAGAAGACCGATATTCGAGGAAGTCAAAGCAGCACGTCTTAAGCGCGACATGAGGACCCAGCGTGACGCGTATTAAATTAAAAGTGACGACATGTGTTTTCCTTCCCACAGGAAAATACATTAGCCGATACATTTCCCCGCAATCGTGCATCCCGCTCACTCCATGTGACTGCGCCGCAAGCGAGAGAGGAAGAGACGCGGCGTCTTCGAAAGCTAAGCTCGAGCTTTCGACGTAAATCTGATAAAGCGGACGCGTACGGCGCCTATACCGAGAAGTTTTCTATTTAAAAACGCCACAATATCGTCCACGTTCCGACTCGTTTGCATCCGGACCGTTCCAACGCGTCGGAGGGGGACGGAGCGACGGCGGCTATTCTGCACCGAAGCCGTTATTGGCCGAGGGAGGCTCCGGCGCACCGCCCTCCCGCGTAGGGCCGCGTTCTTCAGGGGCGCTTAAGCGGCCCGCCGTGGGGCGGCGTCGGGCGGCAGTCATGCTGAGAGCCTCAGCGGAGCCGGTGGAATCACGTCGCGAGAGTTGCCCATCTCGCACGAAGAGACCGCGCGACACGCCGAGCGAGCGCGCGAAAGGCACACGCGCATACCCCACGGCGTTATAACGATGCGCCAAAACCTGTGATAACCCGCTGTCCGTTAACGCTAATAGCGTTATTTACGTTCAGTTTCTGTACTTTCGTTGGCCTCAGCCCGTTCGGTAGTTTGTGTGCTGTGATTTCGTTTTTCTGTGCCGATCGATAAAGCTCGTAGCTGTTGCTACCCCGCGCCGGTGCTTGCTCGGATTTTCGTTCAGGATTGAGGTATGGTTTTAACTATGTTGCCACGTTACGGTATGCTTTTTCTGTTGTCATTACGACCTAGGTAAATGAGAACAGAAATAAGGAGCTTCAATCTGATATAATAGCACATTCGCCTAGAGTTTAGTGTAAATAAATAACATAAATTATAAAAGAACAATATGAGTTTTCTGTAGAAGAATAAAAGCACTAATACATAAAAAGATCATGACATATAAATCGCTAAAGAAATTTTTCACGTCCGCATTATTTTATTCGTCACTATTTATTTGTAAAGTAAACCTAAACAGTTATAAAGTATCGGTTTAATTTTAAGAATATTACCCGGCGGTTAAATCATGTCATTTTAAAATATTTCAGTTTCAGCTAACAGCTAACAACTATAAACAAACTTTAGTGAAAAACTTTTCATTGTAAAATACTGACAATATCATGTAATGTAAGACGTTCATTTCGGATATGTATGATATCTAATATCTAATATTAATGTACAAATAATATTGTAAACATATAATATATTATATTAAGCGAATGTTGTAATAAGTTTATATAATGGGCGTATTGTTTAATTATATACTGTGTGAGCTTTGTTATTAAATTTGTTTTGATAACAGCAATTAAAATGCAATAGAGAAGAATTGCTTTTTGTTGAAAAAAAGGTTAAAAATAATTGAGATCAGATCAGATCAGAACTTTTGATTTTAGATGTAGTATTATTTTATTTATATTTTACTCTAAATCAATATTAAGATGTCTACTTCAAGAATTAGGTCTTTAATGTACCTTTACCTAAGTAACAAAAAATTCAGTCCCGTTGTATGTACGCTTAGATCTTTCAAACTGCTTAACGGATTTTAATGCAGTTTAACAATAGATAGAGTGATTCAAGAGGAAGGTTTATATGCACATTGCACCCGTGCAAATCCGGATGGGTCGCTAGTCTACAATTAAAGTCTTCCAGTATTTCAATTATATACACAATTGTTACAGTTAATCAAACGGATAAGCTGTCAATAATAGGCTTTCATTTCACTAACAAAGCCAAGTCGAATGACTTACTTGTGAGTATAATTGAGTTATATCATGAATCAATGAATTGAATTCGGCAGCGTTTCTTTTTTAATTTTGATTGTGTAAGTTTCGGCCTTTCTGTCGGCAATCCTCAACTTAGCCATAGGTATTACTGTCAAATACTTATTGTACTCGAGTGCGTACAAAATGGAAAATGCTCCTTATACAATCGATGTTTGCCCAACAGTGGGACACATGTGAACGTTGTTACTGTTGCTATTTTGAAAAAAAATATATTCATATCTTAATGCGTAACAGATCTTTTGGTAACGTTTCAAATTTTAATAGACAGCATGGTAAAATAAAGTAACTGTAAAGTAATGTAACCAAAGCGGAATAGCGGACTTCAAATAACTTTGAAATTTTTTTTTCTTTCACTGCTGAGCCCGCTATAAGCAGCATAGGAATACTTTAATAGGGGCACCTTATTAAGGTATCGATTTCATTGTTTTACAACATATAACATACTAAGGAAATAGATACGATATTTAAGTGTAAACAAGCAAGCCTTATTTATAAAATACCAAATTATGAATAATAGAGATCTAAGGAGAGGTAGAGAAATTATTAAAACGGTCTTATCAAGTTATGTTTAGAAAGTTACTTATGAAAGAAATAGTACTAAATACAGTAAGAGTTTAATTTCTATTAATATTTTTCGGAAATAAGTCTGGAATTAACAAGTATAATTTTCAACAAAAAAAAAACCGACTTCAAGCCGGTAACTAAAAACATTGTTGATAACTATAACATTTGAGGATTGCCCTTGATTTCTCTAGGATGCCATCATCAGATCCGGGTTTCCCTATCATAGTACCACCGTTGGGATATCTCCTTTCCAACAAAAAAATAAACATCAATATCGGTTCATAAACGACGAAGTTATCCGCGTACACACATAAAAATAAATAAATATATACATACGGTCGAATTGAGAAACCTCCTTCTTTTTTGAAGTCGGTTAAAAACCTCCTTCTATTTTGAAGTCGGTTAAAAATTAATGGTGTTAACCGGTAGTAAATCAAAAACTTAGGGGTATATACAGTTTTAGTTTATTTTATTCTTTTAGCGTTAAACGCCAAATACAATGAAAAACTAGTGGAAGGTACATTACACACCGCAGTTGAAATTATGTCACACGAGGTTAACATTAATGCAAATACAGAATGTTTCTTTGAAAATGGCTTTATAATAAACACTTTCCACGTACACTTTCTATGTTTTTACATAACACATCTTAAAAAAGAACACATCTGTTGATTAATACAACCATTTTTAAATTAACCAAGATGTATGTATAACTTGGAAAAGTAATAACTCCAGAAAGAAACTAAACTGTAGTGGAAGAACGAATATTACTATTTTACATGCGGATTTTTCTAGCGAACGCTTCAAACAATGCAAACTTTCACAGCAGAATGTGGTACGTTACTTGATTTTATTTAAGATATCATTCTAACTAAAACATATGATACGTTTTTTTACAATATGTACCTATGTTCTAATAAATTTAGAGTTGAATCAAAAAATAATCATTTTAAAAGTTCTGTCTAAGCTGATACTTTAATAATTCTGAACTGATTGCCATATTTTATCAGTGTGCGACCGTAAGAGAAATAGAGGATATTTTCTTCATGTTAATAAAACTAATTTTCAGGAGTTCTTCTCGTATAATTATTTTCCATGCATAAATATCGAGTTTTTTCATGATTGTTGCTACGAGTATCAACATTGTTTTGACGAATAACGTTTATTTGGGTGAATCCGAGCAATGTTAAACTTGATTTTCTCAATAAAATTGAACACCAATACAGCTAATATTTGGACGTGACGGTGTTTTTCGGTTATCGGAGAAAATTTAAATTTAAATTTTAAAAGTAATGATTAATAAATTCAAAAACAACTAATTTATTGTCAATTAAAAAAAAAGACTTGAAACTTACAGTATGAGGATTATTAAACAGAAAAATATTAAAAGCTTATTTTTTATAAGAAAACGTGAAGGAATAATACTTTTTATAACAGAAAATCGCGGTTATTAAGAACCTGATAGCGTTCATCGATTCTATGAGGTTACTGATCTCATCCTGAGGTAATTGTTCCTAATGAAATTTCAAAAGCTCCTACAGTTGTTGTGTGAATATACACTGTCCAGGTCTTTCAAAATCTTCCTATGAAGCATATCCACTGGGTGCACAATCGGGTTTAAGTCCGTCGATTGAGCAGGCCACAGCAGAACTTGAATGTTCTACAGGAGCCATTCTGTAGTGCTTCTGGCTGTATGGCAATGATCATTGTCGTACCATCAGAAGGCCGTACAAGGTTTTTAACGTAAGAATCAGCGTCTACTTTACCATTTATACAAATTAACTCAGTTCGTCTATCCTTCGTGATTCTTGCACAAACCCACAGTAGGAATAAGCTTCCTGAACATACCTGTCACTTACTGTCTCCAGGACTTCGCACCCTTTACTCTTCTTGAATCGGATCTAAATCTAAGTTGGGACTCGTCACAAGGTAGTATTTTAAACCATCGCTCTTGTGGCCACTAGACGCGTTCCCTGCACCATGCTTCAGGACGAGCTCGATTTTTATTAAGGATGGACCTTATTGGAACTCATGATGGCCATACTCGTGCAGTCTGATTCGCTGCTGCGCATAACGCATAAGTTAAAAATACTCGTAATTCTGAATCAACTGTCGCAATTCTGAATCAATATCATTCAAATTCTCATTGAAAAAATCCACCAAAACTAAACAATAGAATATTTTCTTTTTCTTTTTTGTTAATTTAAAATACACATTTTTTTCTAAACTCAGCCAGAATTTATTTTCAGATTAAAAAGTTTTCATATGACATTTAAAAGTTGAAATTTTCATGTATTTAATAAACGTAAATTATTTTGGCAAACAGTAACAATATTTTATCGTGTTGCTTTTTTAATGTGTAATATATATAACCAATATGCTTACAATTAGAAATAAAACTTACAAAAACAAAAACTTATACAAAACGATGATGTAGTCGTTAACACGACCTTTGAGTAAATTTTACTTACAAAGTTGTTTTCAGAATGGTTACAAATACCTTTTTTTAATAATCAACAGTCTAGCTATGAACATCAGTTAGCTAGACAAAATGATGGAGAAAAACAAATAAATAATTAGCACGCCGATTATGTGTATGTAAATACATTAAAATGTTACGCTTAATTAGTAAATATATATCCAGTTCTACTGCTACCGTTGTTGAATATTCATACAGCCATGCATTTTATATTAAGTCGATTGCAATGTTACATTATAGATACAGATGGACTATAAAGAAATTTCGCAAATTTGTTTTGCAATTACTTAAAGATTAATTGCTCATTGCCCTTTTGTTACCATTGCACACATTTCTAATCTATCTTTAATAGGGCCGAAGTGTTTCAGCAGCTGAACGTTAAATTAGCGACGTTAGAATCATAGTGATTACGTTTTTAGAATTTATCCTCTTAATTTACCGTCTCAATTTTTCCGCCGTTATACGGAACAGAATAAACTGGGGGCATAAGAAATAGTTTTACCTGTCTTCTTCTTCTCTATTAAAGTTCAAAACCGTGACATATCGCCTTTGTTTATTGTCATAAGAACGTGTAAATCAAGTGTACAGTTTTCTGTATACTAATTAGAAACACGACAATGTTATGCAATTACTATACTTGCTTACTTATTTACATTTAGTATTCTATATAATCATATGTCAAATTTAAAAGGCTGCTGAAGCTCATTATAATTGCTCAATTGGCTTAATTCACTGACCAGTTATTAATAGTCAATTTGATTGTTCAGTGATGATCTTTTACCCCCATGTGAGAAATGGCAATAATGCTATCTGCACTAATATTATTAAAGAAGCTTCTGAAACTCTTCTGAAATGTTATTTTCTTACATTATCACTGAACTAAATAAGATTTGTATATTACAATATACATAGCCAATTTCATGCAAATAAAATTAAGTTCTTGTTAAGTAACTCAACTCTTAAATTTTCATTCCAGAAGGCAAGGTGGACATATATTGACTGTTACATTACTTAACGTATTTCAAAAACATGCAGTTTTTAATGAGTCGCAATGTCGTAAAGGTACGATCGCGAGATATTGGAAAAGAGATGTGTCTCAAATAAGCATTAGTTGGGAATCGAAACTAAAGCGTTATTTCGTATCTATAGTCTAATCACCTTTCTAAGGTATGATAAATATTTAATTATATTATTAAGACCAATTAATAGTGGTGTTGCAAACGAGCTTAAGACCGCGGGCGATTAAAAGTATTTCGTAAAAGGATTATGAAATGAATAAAGGATGATAGTTTTAAGTCGGCATTTGTAAGTTTATGTAGCGAAAAATCCCTAAAACAGATTGGCTTAAAGGGAGTATTTCGCATCTCAATAGCGGAGCAAACGTGATTAAAACTAATTCTTTGAAACTATGGAAAGAGGTCCCGTGGCAGCTGCAAAAATCGCGACCAAGAGAGATTTGCAGGTCGTAAATTCCAAACGAACATTTTCAATATGATCTTAAGACACAGAATCCTATAGCTATGTGTCTTTTTTAACTTGTTACTCCGCGTCTGTCTGTGGAGATCTGTCAACCCGTTGCTTTGTGATGAAGCGGCCACACCGCGGGGAGTCCACAGATAACGAAAAGATTAGATGGATATCTAAAGAATGACATTGTTTAACGGGTCCAGGTAAGCTTGGCCCCTTCCCGAATCCCCGTTCCGCGATGAAGTGCAACAAACAATTCGTAAACAACATTATTTGACAATAATGCGATTATCCACTTACGCCTACGCCAATGAGATAGGTTTGATTGACATCTTGAGAGCGAGCGAAACACGGATGACAGAATTACATAGGCATCTATTGAAAGAGCATGTAGTAAATAGGGCTGAGATGGAAGGAATAATAAGGCAATGTTCTCATTTGATGATAATAAGTATAATAATACTTACTGGAGATAAACCGACATACAGAAACAAGCCGCAATTATTTGTTCAGATATTATCTCTTTTATGTGATAATATATATTGAAAGGTAAGTAGTACATAAATAAGTCAATTATTTATGTACTACATTACCGTATTGTTGTTATAGGATCATCTGTCTTCGTGATCCAATTAAAAACTATATGAGCGCTGTAATAGGAACAAGAATATTAATTAATTTATTTAAAAATTAACTTAAGGATAAACAAAAGGCAAACTTAATGCTAATAAGCATTCTCTTCTAGTCACCCCTGGAAGTAGAAAACAAAGCTAAATTTATTTAGAGAAAATTTCATTTTAATTTTTTTTTTATTTACTTTAAGTGTTTGTTTTAAACATCAAAAATAATGTCAATGAAGAGAATAAATAAATGCAGTGCCTGTAAACAGCAAATCCAATTAAATATATATTGGATATTTCAATATACCTTATAATTGTTTATTATTTATTCGTTAATTTTATTGAACAGTAAATTGCCGAACTTATGGGTATGAGACACATTGCAAAGATGTTAAACGGTTAATCGGCTCCCTTTACCTGATGATGAGGGATACCCGCCGTCAGTGGACATCACAGTAACCAGTTTTTTTTAATGTGAGAAAGTGGCAAAAGAATTGGCGGTTCACCTGATGTTAAGTGATATCAGCCGCCTATGGACATTTGCAACACCCGTTGGGTTGAAAATGCGTCGCCACCTTTAAATAAAGTGGGCCCCGGCTACCTCACTCACCAGACGAAACGCTGAAACACTGTAACACTTATACTCTACGCCGCTCTTCTGTGAGGTCGTGATACTAACCCGGATGGACCTGCCCATTCGTGCAACAGTGAACAATGTTGGTGTTTACGAAATTACTACGGGTACCATTTGTGTAAATACTAGAAAACATAAAATAAACTTATTAGACTCAGAAAACTGATGCTATGTTTTATCACGGCAGCGAGAGATAGGATTACCTAAATCAAATTACTCACCACTGGGCTTCTATCCCGCAACCATAGAACGCAAGTTAATGACTCAACAATTGAACCACCACAGAATTCATTGTAATAACGATAACATAAAGCTCGTAAAATAGTAACGTTTAGAACTGTAACATCGATGCATTATGCGATTATCATCGCGTCGACACGCAAAGATAATCGCATAATGCATTTAAATTAAAACAAACATAAGGCAATCAACATTTATTTAACTTTAATTATGTAGTTTAATACTTAAAATTTAACTCAATATATACATATTACTTATGTGTTCTGTTGCACTTGAATGAGAACAATAAATTTTAATGTTAGTATGAGTTTACTCTGGATAAACCAACTTAATTGATGAGATTGTAAAATATCGTAAAATAAACTTCGCAATAACATGAAAACATAACAAATACTTGGTTTAATTACTTGTTTTTGTAAGTTATCATCAGCTTTTGCCTACAAAAAATAATGGCTACGACATATTTTATGGTGTACCTAAGAAGTAAAATATAAAAAAGGACTGTAGAAATAATATAGTACCTGTCGTGTGATATGCGCGTTGGAACAGGTTTTATCATTCATAAAACTATTTTAATAAACTATCGATGCTAAACCTCTACAATAAAATAGATTGGAACCCGTCTAACAAATAAACTAAAATTAAATATACACGAATACAATTGGAATTTTTGTCTCAGACGTATAAAAGTGTCCTATAAATTTACCCACGGCTTAAATTTAATGTCCAAAAGTGCCCGCTTCAGATTTTTTTTATTATAAATAAACGTTCGACGTCAACTATGGGTGCACGAATGCGCGTTATTATTTTGAGAGATGGCCTTAAATTTGTTTCGGGTGGTTAAGATCATTTCGGGGTTAGTTTCGGTTGTGTGTTTTACGAATGGGCAGGTAACCGTGATTATGATTGGTTTGAGTGTCCCTCCTTTTTTTCTAATTCAACTATTTATCACCAACAGGACGGTCGTGGTGGATTGGACTCATTTGGCTGACGGAAAATGGTACCGAAACTATGGAATAGCTGTCACCCGTAGTTCGCGACACCAGAACAGTGCTAGAAGCTGTCGAGGAGTTTCTCTAGTGGCGGCGTCACCAGCGGGGCTGTACCCGCCGCGTGGATGGTGGCGGGCGAATGGGGCTATGCGCCGGTGCCGGCCACACCCGCCATGAACGCCTTCCTCGAGACCAATCACGCGCACCTCGCCTCCTATGGGCTGAAGATGTCGCCACAACCGGGCTGTGGCGTCGGCGCCCAGCACCGCGCCGCGGCCCCCCACCCGCCGCCACACCACCCCCCACACTACCAGCCCTATCCCCTGCACTCGTATCAGACCGGCTACCTGCGAGAGTACGGTGGCTGCGGCGAGCTGTTCCCCCAACAGCCGCTAGAGCAGAGCTGGGACTGGCGCGGTGACGTCCACTACCAGAGCGGTGCGCCCCCCCTGGTGCCCCACGCCCACGCGCACGCGCCCCACGCGTTCCTACGCTACGTGCGGGCGCCACCGCGGCGGGACATGCGCTGCCAATGGCTCGACCCGGAACAGCCACCGCCGCGGAAGCTCTGCAACAAGCTGTTCTCCAGCATGCACGAGATCGTCACCCACTTGACGGTCGAGCATGTGGGAGGGCCCGAATGCACGACGCACGCATGCTTCTGGCAGGGCTGCTCACGGAACGGGAGGCCCTTCAAGGCGAAATATAAGCTGGTCAACCACATTCGGGTGCACACCGGTGAGAAGCCATTCCCCTGTCCTTTTCCCGGCTGCGGGAAAGTGTTCGCGAGGTCGGAGAATCTGAAGATCCACAAGAGAACGCATACTGGTAAGAAACAATGTATATAATTATATTTATTTCACAGTTCAGTGACGTAGTCATCTAGTTCTTCTAGTTATAGTTCTACGACTTGATATAAGTTTTATGATAGAGGTTATTGAAGCGCGAATAATCGTTTTCGGGTGCCGAAAGTGTGCTTTTAATATCTTCCTTTGTGAATGCAACCGATTTCATTTCAACAGTATTAAATTCTTACATAGTTCATACCATGTTAGCTGACAAGGAAATAACGGAAATAACGTCTAAAGAAAAAATAAGCGTCTATTAAGTATTTTGAAGTACCGATATCATCGATCTGATCGAACGTCGGGAATAATTATCGCGGCGAAAGTAAAAACCGCCCAAACCGGCACCGCGTTGACCCGCCGAAATGTTTTGATCCTCATTAATTCATAATGAACCGCCCCCCGCGCCGGCGAGCGCCGCTTGCGGTTCCAGGGCGGCCACTGTTGCGTCACGACACAATGCCACCAGAGAACAACAAACTGCTGTCAATGGCTGTCATTGTAACGCGACCCCGTCGACCAACATCTTACGGCCGAACTGATAACTGCGTCGACTTGTGAAGTCCGTTTCCCGGTACGATCGACGCCGAACAAAAACCTTTGGCCGGTCTAAGAACGCCATTTCTCAATTTATTACTATTCGAAAGATTCATCCGTATTGTGTGGAGTTGAATGTAAAAAAAAAATGGACGCCATAAATTAGAACGTCCGACTGCGCCGTCTCGCGCCGTCGCATGCCGTCCCGTTCTCTCGCTACGGACCCGGAAAGTACTTAACTTTAAACGTCGATTTTTAAATAAACGACCCGGACAATTTGTATGGTCCGGCGTGAGTGTGGCCATCTGGTTTTATTATGTTCCTTTCGGACTGTTAGCGTCTAGCTTTACTCCCGGATTCGTCCCGAGTCCCCGACCGTATTATCTAATACGGGCCCGTGAATAGCTTTGCCGTTTTTGCGGCCGAGTTTGAAGAATTGTTTTATGGACGGCTATAAATTAGCCCCGACGTGTCTCCTAAACAATAGCGAGCTGGAAGTCGAATAACATTACGGCTTTAATTATCCAAACGAGACTATCCCTGCACCGATTACGAGTTTATTGCTGTAATAATCACATTTGATAGGATTTTAGAAGACTGTGTGAAGACAAAGCAGTAGCAGCGTGCAAAGCTCATCGATTTGTAGTAAACTGTTACGGTAAAGTTGCAACATGCATGTTACCAATACAAGTCCGTCGTATATAATTTTCGAACCCGCTCGCGTTGGCACGTTGTGAATGCACCGTGAAACTGATATTTTTATAAACTCGTTTAAAAAGCCACGCGATACGCCCAGATTGAAGCTCAGTAGCCGAATTTATTTGCTGTCGTTTTAAGTAACGTATCAATTCGGTGATAAAATATATTTAATGGGGATGCCTTCGCGTTCAACGGAGCGTCACGAGTTTGGTGCATTTTTAGTTTTGGTAAAAACGCCGACGAAAATTTATTTTTGTGTTTGGGAAAGTATAAGTTGCTTAAACAGTTCTTGTTGCCTAGTGCTCATAAGAGATGGAACTTTGTCAGTAAACATAGCGAATAAGAAATACAAAAAATATTGTCGAAGACATAACTAGGCCAAATATTACAGATATCAGTAAACGTGCGTGCGTTAGAATTATGTTTTAATATTAAGCAGCAGATCAATCAGTACTGAAGACACCTGGCGGGTTATAAGCCTACTACAGAAGAGGTTTTATTCAACAGGACTAAAGGTTGTAAATTGTTTTTTTTATTTAAACGTTAAAGCAAGAGGTGCCCGACGCTCTGTGTCGGGAGTTTCGCGTCCTCACCGAAACCCCGCCGCCGGCACATTCCGCCCACAGCCTCACGATTACTTCATATCCACTAAAGTACCTTAAAGAAGCTTATTTAATGTTTCACAATTTATTTAAATAATAATAAAACACGGAATGTGAATATGGCTTGTTATTACCACTTTTATTTACCTGTTAGTTAAGTTCGTTGACTAGAGTATCTTTTTAATTATACTAACTACTGAATTCATAATCGCTAATTGACATTCCTTTGTGGTGCTCTCGTTGACAGTCTTCCCGTTGAAAATAAGGCTAGTTTTAATAACCCTTGGGTATATATAAAAAATAGCGCTAGCTCGGGTGAATGTTGAGCGGCGCTGTAGCATAACATAACTTACGCGATAAAAGTATTGTGATGACTCCGTGGCGAGGTTGTCAAGGTTGCTTCGGCGTCGGGGTCGCGGGTTCGATTCCCCCACGGGACAACTATCTGTGTGACCTACAGACAGTTGTTTCGCATCTGAATGTTTGTCCGCGTGAAATTTATGTTTGTAAATGGTCCTTACGACGCAGGATAATGTTATCCTAAAGTAAGGGCAATGTTTTAAAATAGAAAAAAGATTGTGTTAATAGGTTCTCCATATTAGCTACAGCGTGTGTGAAAGTGTATAGTTGATTTCTTCACACAAACACACAAACGATTATCCCTATAAAGATATGAGTAAACAGATCCGAGCAACGAACGTTTCGAGCAACCTCAGCCTCTGTCTCCCCGATACATTGCGAGCGCGTCGGAAGCGTTGGGGTGACAACAAGGGCGAGACACAATAGCGTAATGATGATACGATTCCGACCAGCGAAGACGACCCTCCGCTATCAAACGCAGCGCCCGGCTAATATGCCGTATAAAATGACGCTTTCAAAATATTTTGCAAACAATGACGAACCCTTGCCGCCCGCCCTGCGGTCGGCGCATTGTGCGCGCCGTCGAGTGCACTTCTACATCGGTTTATTGCTAACTAAACACTCCGATGCACCGCTCGTAATTCTTCCCGATCGTTGCCCACGGCGCAGTGGAATATTTGCGTTCATTCAAACACCGCGCGCTGTTGCGCAATGCGTTGCGACTTTACTCCAATAATAATAACTGTCAGAAGAAAACGTCGAATACTTGCGTTACCGCGAAACATGGGTGGTGGTGACAAACGCTGGTGCTCCGCAAGTGCCAGGTCCGCAAGTCCATTGTTTACTAACAACGGATCAGATGAACATATTCCATTTACATACAGTGTGAGCTACGTTGGAACATGTCGCAACGCTATTTTAATAACTTATTGTTAAAAACGATAAACACTTTTGCGTCGGTTAAAACGAACGATGCTGTAGAATCGTCGAATTCATTTGAGCCTATGACGCGATTCGTCATAACAACACGTTACAACGTTATTTTAGTTAAAAAAAAGCTTCGATAAATCCGTTGGGTAATTTTTCCTTGGTAAAAAACTAACGACGCCGCTCCACCGCGCTTAGTATTTTCCTATTATTTGGCACAATGCATGAAACAATTGAACCAATGACATTTTAAACTATAAATAATTATGTGTATACACTCATAAAATGACTGTTCAAGAGGGTCCCAAACTTGCTCATATTCACACATTTCTTTCATCATGACTTTCTTACACACGTCGAATGGTGGTAAAAAGAAAGCGTAAATTAAATAATAAGAAAAAAGAGGACTTAAGCATTACTTAAGTGTAAATAAATGTCAATCAGACCACTAATCATAGCACGTTTGACATGGACTAACTATAAAATTAGTTGAAACAAAAAATGCAAACCGACTACCGAACTCATGATAGTGCTCGGTTTAATATTTAACAAATGATTAGTGAACAAGGACTCACCTTTTATACTATTCATATGTGAAAGAAATAAAATATTATGCAAGTGAATAAATATTCATTTTCCACTAAAAACAATTATGCATCTTCTAAGAAATACAATTTATTTATTTTTTGATCACTTATAGAGATTTTTTTTAATTTCAGGGTTATTTTTATGAGCGGAGATGAATTGTTGTACTTGTCAATTATAGGTTTAAAATACTTCTCCAATCTCGTCTTACCATCAGGTGAAATAGTAATAGTAAGATTGCTTGACTGTGATTTAAAATTGAAAAACATAAATTATCACGAAAAAACACTAAAAAGATATTTTTAATAGTATCAATTAAACCTTAATCTATTATATAATACGCCTAACATTTTATCGCTTGATAGTTACATATATCGCTAATTTAAGTGACTCGACTGTCACAAACCATGGGCTATAAAATTATGTATTCATTAACGGCCATATATTATATCTTCGTTTATAGCTATGATGGAGCAGTTTGGTTAGTTGCAAACTGATTAACTAGTTGTGGTCAAATAAGCTGTAAAAGTTGGCCTCGATTGCTTGTGGTGTATATTTTTAATTTGCATAATAGTAGGTCCAATTATAATATAAGAAATAAAAAAAATTCACCTAATACTTGTCGAAAAACTTTGTTAATATGGCATGGCACTTCCATATTTACTTTGAAAAGTTCCATCCGTGGGCGTATAAAAAATAAGATCGTATAATTTTTTTTAAGATTTAAACAGTTAATATTCGTTAAAACTTTATGTATTATATTAACTGTTTCCATTGTAAGTAAAGTATTTAGCGCGTACGTATTTAAATAAAATGGAGTCGCTTTGGTTCGGCCATTTTATCTCGACATATGATAATGTTGTAACCCTATTACGGTGGTGCGCATTTTAAAAGGTGTTTATGTGCGCCGAGTGCCATCTGCTCCGGATTGGTAAATTGTATAAAAAACATCGACAACAAAACTTATATGAGCCTGCACGTGTGTGTATATGTACGTGTTTGTGTGTGTGTGTCTGTGGATTTAACAATGGGGTCGATTAGTCAAACTTTCAAAAAATGCAAAACACGTATTATCACGCGTATTCATAAGAAACAAGTACAAGAATTATTGGTGCTTAAAAATAATACAAAAGACGTGTATGCCTTGTTTAATTAGAACCTTGGAACGTGATAGCATAGTGTCTAGGCGCTCGCTTTTGATTCATTATACTCGAGCGACCCGAGTTCATATCCCGGTGTCAGCACAACTGAAATGGTTACTTATGATTTTAAGTGCTGTCTTATCACGTTCTCGACAGTAAAGGAAACATCGTGAAGTGAAAGAAAATATTTGGAAAATATTCCAAAAATATGTTGAGTCCACCGATATGCGGTAGGGCCGATTTACAGAGAGTATTACAGAGAATACTCTCTGGAAATTAAAAAAAAAACCTTTGCCCAGCTGTAGGGTATAGCTAGCTTGTTACATTCACTTACTTACTTTAAACTTACTTCTTTGTTTTTCTGGTTCATTTCATGTTATATTATTTATATATTATTATGTTTCTAATTTCTAAGTTGCTTAAATTCGAACAATATGCTTTTTCGTTAACTGCGCTTATTTCTACTCTGTTATCGTTGTTTAGAGTTTACGAGGTTTTATCCTAATACTTTATTTAAGTCCTTTTTAAAAGTTTTGATTTTATTTGTGATTTGACCTATTAAAGCAAGTTTTGTCATACCACAAACTCGTGTTTATCGAAAATTTTTCGTCATCAAACATTTGTCTACGTATTTTATACATAATCGACGAACTTAATAAATGTAATAGTTTTCTTTACGTTATTTGTGTCGTCGTCAAAACAAACAACAGTATTAAGTAAAGGTGCGTAAAACGAATAATCTCACGTCAAATAATATACTCCTAATCGCTTTATTAGTCAGGCCAAGGGCAATTATTAGATGGGCGTGTCTGACGCATCGCCCGTCGATAGCGGCGACCCCGCCACGCACACATTAGCGAGCATCAGTAAGTGCACACATGCATACTACCCTGGGGACCCCTCGCACGGGCGATTGTCACCTACACAGACAATATAAGCGCCTTAGTTTTTTATTCGCTTTGTTCCTAGTCCCCTCTATAGGCCACAACGCAGTGTTGACACCCCATAGCTTCAGTAAGACAGCGCTCCGAATCCAGTGGCTTTGCATGACATAGAGCAAAGCGGCCCTTTCACCGACACTTTGGCCAGGCTACCTCGTTTTAGGCTGTCCGGAAAAAGTGCAACGTCGCAAAAACCGCCCGCCAGCCATTCCCCGGCGCGAATACGCGAAAAACGTTTTTATTTCGTCAACGATTTCGCTAAACGTCGAAGCGACGGCGCGAACAGAGCTAAGGAGTGCGGGCAAAAAGAATCTCTCACTGTCCAAACGCTCGGGGAACGCGTTCTGTGTGCGCGCGCTTCATCGCCTACGTCTCCAACACGAGGAGAATCTTGAATCGATAATGCGCTTAGCGCAATTAGCTGATTACGATGCCGACGCCAGATAAAAAGCATTGTAGTCGTAAATGTCTCAGCGAAATGGTTGCTGCGCACGGAATAACCGCTTTTCCATTAATAAAACGCATCGTCCGATATGTTGGTCGCTAAAAAATCTACTTATGCCTCTCCTCCCAGTCTATATGTGGCTAAATCAACCCGCCGTGCGTTTTTTGCGTCGCCGTACTGCATTTATTTCTGCCACCCGCATCGAGGGCCTGTCTTAATGAATAATGAATCAAATAGTATACGATAAGAAACTATTTCTACCATTACATTATCATTATTGACGATTTTTTGTCAACCTCTATTACGTACGTCCGCGAGTCCAAATTGAATAACATTAATGAAACAGTTCTGCTGAGTAATCCAAATCACATGCCAGGCATTATTTTCATTCATTCTTGTTCAATATAAAAAAATGTTTAAACTTTATATCGGGATCAATATAAAGGAAACAAATTAGGTAAAAACGGTGACTGGCTTTACTCAACCTTTCTTCTTTGGATTTTGTTTATTAGATTGACTTTTCTTGTTTAAAATAAAGATGAAGTTCCACAGCCACGTGTTAAACTATGTACCAGGGCAACATAAATTGTAAGCGATTTAGTGTAACAATGGTACCGAGGCCCCAGGATGCGCTAGCGCATACGCTTCCTACGCTAACTACTCTCCTCTATCTTATTGCCATCATTCCTTTTGACACTTTACTGCGCTTGTATTTTATACTGACTTGGTAATTTTTGTCTGTTTTTAGTTGTGCACGGTAAATTTATAAATGTCATCGAACGTTATTGCTTTGCGCTAAAGGTTTCCCCAATGGGACTATGAAGGTTTGGTTTACGTTACATTCGTTGCGAATGTATATACTATAAGTGTAAAGTAACGAGCTATACATATTATGTCGTACTGCTAATCCAAGATACACAGAAGGTATTAGAGCGATATACCTACAAACACAACTTGTTCTTATTGGCATGTTTCGTATATCTCGGAAATGTTTATTTTATTATGTCTACGATTCCCTCAAGATGTCTTCGTTTACAGTTAACAATTCTGTTGATTCCCGCACCAGGATTTGGGAGGCTAGAACGCAATGGTTAATAAAAAAAATTGAACACTAACCACTGTTACATAAGAAATTAAATCTTACTTTTAATTTTTAGTGCTCTATATTTAATCAGTTTTATCTGTACATTTTTAATTAAATATAATTCGTTCTTCGTTCTTCGTTCTGATATTCCCACCGACCGATTTCGTTGTAAGATAATTCTATGTTCGATTTGCTAAATTATCTATTAAGGCTATTCGCTATTCCTATCCACCATAAAAGTTAAATAGCGAATTACCTAATATGGTGAAGATAAGATTGTGCCTCGTAGTATATATATGTGGCTAATGCAATCCAGTATCCGTTCAAATCTACGATTAAATATCTTACACTTAAAGGATTTCTCTTTTTCATTGTAATTTAACAGATTCCCATTAAATTAAATGACCATCAGCAGTATTCAATGCTCTGAGAAAAACCGTAGACTCTTTGAAGTAGCTAACTGCGAAATTCCTTAGTCTTGTAGGGAGACAGCGGAGGTCTCACTGAATAATTCATGTGTTTTTTCGTTTACACCATGTCGGTGTCAATATATGTGGTGGGGACGTGACGAATCCTCACATCTTAGAATAGAAAAGTGACGCCGTACACGGCAAATAAATTGGCAATTCCCTTGTGCTGTTTCCAATATCACCTTGAGCCGAAGTAGCTTCAATCCCACATATATATATTTACTTGAAGACGCAAGTCACATTTTATTCCGACTATCGAATAAAGTTGCTAATTACCGCAATAAAGGTGTGTTGGCGGTTAAAAAGCGCGGACGAATTTCGACGGGTATCAATAGTAAAAGAAGTGGACACGCAGTTCTGAGGGCGATCACATTACCAAATCGCGCCATTGTGTCAAAAGTATTTGAATAGCGCATTCCGCACACTGCCGCACCGTCAAAAACCTCGATCCGATCTTCGAAACCGGGCTCGGATAACAATCGAAATGTTAACACGACAATAAGAAGAATTGTTTTCCTAATCGGAGAGGTTTTTGTTTCGCAGCCGCTAGGTCCGTCATGGTCTGGAAAATTTCATTGATGTTTCCGTGATTCGAGAGGATGCGGGAATGTTGTACAAGTGATCGCGCTTGAAATGCGAACATAGTTTATATTTTTTTTTCAAATGGCTTTCAGTCGAACTGATTTTCAAAATTCATTCACGTTAATCTCAACTCTGTGCGACTAGTCCGCCACAAATTAGTTTAACATTGACAGTTTGATCGGGAACACATTTAAATGTTTACAAAGTTATCAAATATCGAAAAAGGTCCACATAAACGGTAAATAGAAAAAAAATAGAACAGATAGAATAGAATGCTCGGAACGCGGGGTCACGTCAGAGCGGCTCTAAAATTAAATACGAAATAAGACAAAAAAGGGCCATTAATATTCGTTAGAATTATTGGTTTGTCCAAAAATACGCCCGGAGGCTGAAACATGATGCCGTGTGGGTGTTGAGTGGACAGGGCCCGGCTCGAATCGAATACATTTTTCGGCGGATTTATTGGACGGCTTACAAACACCGCGAAATTATGATATTTATGACTTAAATGTTTATTTTCAAATACTCACCTTATAACCTATTAGTCATAAATGACAGAAAAGGGTGCTGTGTGAAGGCATATTAAGATTTAAAAGGTGAATAAAAAAGACGATTGTACCCCCATTATATTAAGGATGTTATCTGGTGGAGGCTGATATGATTGTTTGATTCTACGTTATGCACGACCCTGACACCTCTCTTTTATCTGTTATTTTAGATTTCATTTACTGTTAACAAATATAAAAAAAATGTAAACATACAAAAATTATAGGACGATTTTTAAGACTTTCAACAAACAAATACAAAATTTATATTCTACATTTAAAAGTAATCCTGTAAGGACATGAAATACTTAGTATAATAATTTATGTTTTTCTGTACATAATTCAATCATTTCAAAAAGAAACTTAAAACGTAAATGCATGTCCATACTTCGCCAGCGCATACCTTACCGTATTGCTAAGAATGTCTTCTGTTGGTTAAACCCTAATACTGGGAAATGTGATACTAACATCAACAATTAATAAAGGTCGTCATCCGGAGAAATGAATCACATTATCTCGATTTTTATCGCGTAATAACTTTTCATTTTTATTATTAATAACTCACTTACCGAAACGGGGGCTTTATAAACAATACTAGTAGTTTTATATTAGAAAATGGCAATGATTTTTATCTTCAACTAATGACGCCTCTTTCATCTAAGGTATAAGGGATTTAAGTAATTGCAATTTAACAAATTCTAATCAGTCGTTAAATTCCACCAGCAGATAGCGTGGGGCTGATTGTCAGATGTTAGTTGTTGTTGTTGTCGTTTTAGTAACTAAAGTTAAGTTTCATCTGTTTCTCTGGAAGTATTCTGAAATAAATAAATGCAGTAATTTTTAGCAACTAAGACAATTATAAATTAAGTCTTAACTTTCGCGATCGATAGCAATCTTGGTAATCGAAGAGATCCATGTAGACTTGAAGTGGATGACAATCCTGTAATGAAACCTGTGACACTCGGGGACTGCCGCGGTAAAGCTATTGCATTAGCATTTTTATCAACTTATGCAATTATAATTATTTTTTTATATTTATGCAGTATTTTTTTTTATTGATATTAATTTAAGTTACTCTTTTTGAGCGTGGTGACTGATAAGAAAACTATTTTTTTTTTCTTTTATTGAATACTTAAATGAGAAATTAGTAACGTTTAAAATATTATTATTATTAAAATATAATAGGGGCTCTTTACCAATAAGTGTACGTTTACATCATAATATATTAAGTTAACTAAAAATAATGGATAATAGATTATTTTAAATATATTGAATATTATACATATTACACGAATGTTTGATGGATAAAAAAATATAGTCTTATGTATGTTATTAATTATGATACAAGAAAAATTTTTGCATACTATATAAATTTAGCAAAACATAGTGTTCTAAAACAACTTTGTATACTATGTTTTTTGCAAATGAAGTAATATTATTATTATAGAACTATTATATTACTATTTTCGAAATTAAAAGCTCAAGACATGACAAAAGTTATCGACGTTTTCGATTGCTAATATTGGACGCGAGCACACCCAGAATCTGGAACAGAATTAAATTACTTAAATTGGCAAGTTCACTCTTCCTTAATTTCACTTGACAAATAAACACATTTAATATGCCTCTGTCTCTGTGTGCGGTTGGCAACCGTTTTTATAGTTAATGATCACAAAAGCGAGAATTCAAATTGCAAATATCGTCTGAACCATCTTGTGCAATGCAATCAGTACAACATATTAAATTTTTTAAATGGACAAATTTTGACTATATTGATTCGGCGTCGGGGGGCGTGGGTTACATCCCCACACGGGACAACTATTTGTGTGACCCACAGATAGTTGTTTCGCATCTGGGTGTTTGTCCACGTGAAATTTATGTTTGTAAAACGTCCTTACAACGCAGGTTAATGTCATCCTAAAGTAAGGGCAATGTTTTTATCAAAAAAAAAACTATTTTATTCAATATTTCAATGCCGTCATCAGTTCAGGGCTATCGGAGATGGGTGTTTTCTCGGATTTACTTGTTTTCCTAGTTGTTTTCGCGGGTGCTTATATGATAAGAATGTACGACACTCGTAGTGTAGACGTAGCGTATCGTCAGACGTCTAGGAACGGATGATAATTATATGTGTGGGGATCTTGGAAATGTTACAAACAAAAATTCGATGTACCCGACGCCGCCGAGTTGCTGGTTATTTTTTCGGTCCTGACCCGACACGGTGATGCAGGTTAGTGCTGTCAGAAATCTTGACGTTCAGATTGAC